TAGTGCCTTTCAAGCCATGCCACTCGTTCTCTTATTTCCATCTGTCGTCCACGATTGGCCGGTAATACATCTGTTCACTCAAGGTTGGTCAGTTCGTTTTATCTTCCTTCGGCTGCTAGTACTCGCCATTCCCATTTATTTTACGGTACAGACTCGTCTGTGGAATGCAAAATGTCAATTTCTGAAGACTTGAACGCCTAAGGCCCATTGATAATACTCTTCCCCCTCCCCCTCCTCCTCATGATATTCTAGAATTATTTGCCTTGCCATTACTCCTCACCTGCTTCCTTCAAGTTATTGAAGTTTCTCAAGGCAGAAGAATGGGTGCTCATGCTTGAATGTATGCTGCTGGCTCGACTCTCCTACACCACTGTCACCATTGATGTAACTTATCTTATCATTTAGCTAGCGCATGAGATGAAATGAAATGCGATCTGTCGACGAAGAAGGGCAAATAGGGAGGGATTGTTAGGTAAAATGATAGTCAGCATTGGCAATTGTATCGTGAAAGTGAATAAAAATGACTTCCAGCGAAATGGATATATCTCGTTCGAACTACACTGACTTGAACTTATTCCTCCTTGCCAGCTGCCAACCAGTCCTAAACCTTGACCACTGATCTTTAAAGTGGGAGACCGAAGCCAAATTTACCTGGAAGCTGGAATTAGCTTTTGATCCTTTTTATTTAAATGCCTTTGGACGTTTATGCTAACTGTTTTCCCCAATGTCCACCTTTCATGACCCTAATATTCAATCACACTTTTAAAACGTTGATGAACCGTGCACTTTCAATGAGCGTTCATTGCCTAACTAATTTTTCTTTTTTTTGATGTTGTAGGCACCGCCCTTCTTATCACATGAATGAAGTGCAGCAGGTGCCCTACTCTTCTGTGCTGCGAATCCACTGTGGCACAGATGTCCCCCTCACCGGTGTGTTCTGCACTCTTGATCCAGTTTCGGGAAACGTTGTCCTCTGTTCCCTTCCTGACGACACCAAAGCCGGCTCTGAGACTATTTCCGTCATATCGGGCTGGTCCATCACCAAAGTCGAGGTACTTTCCTTTGCCTTTGTAGGGACCCTCTTCTCCTTTCGTACGTAACAGCTGGACCATCGCAAGTTACGATGTCCATCGTGTGTCTGGTAGCATGGAAAACGCACGGATTGCGACTTGCGCGACGGGTAGCGGGGGGGGGGTTGGGGTGGAACTGAACTCACTCTGCTAGTGGAAGGGATAATGGTGGTGGTGGCGGTGCTCTTTGGCAGCCAGGGGAAAGTGTTCTCGCTGATGCCAGTGGTGGTGGCGCTTACCGTGGCATATTCTGAGACGACATAGTTGTGTTGACATTGGACTGGGTGCAGATATGACCAAGGGGTGCGATCTGTGCTCTGAGTATCCGTTGGCTATGCGATTCCAAGGGTCGGGTACCCGCACATTTTACTTTCAGCCTTGCGAGTCCCTCGTCGGTGACAGTCAAATTTAGGGTCCACTACAGCCTATTTGAATAAGCACACATTTGCGCGCGATAATTAAAATCAGAAATACAACCAATAGGAAACAGGGAAGCTCAATAGTGTACAATTGGACACAATCTTCGACTCTATATTAACCCTATAAACCATCTCTATTGACTTGGGATAGTCGACGATTGTGGCTTAAAAGCTGTGTCCGTATCAACTGTATGTAATCTCTATATCAACTCTGTACCCTGTGTATATCAACCCTACAGAGGTGCTATATAGAGTTGATATAGTCAACGATCGTGTCCAATTGGACACAGTTAGGTCTTCTTCTTTCGCTCGCAGATGATTGGTTGTTTAAATAATTATTCCCGTTATTTTCTACTTTAATACGCTCTACTTTTTAAATTATTTTTTCTTTCCCCTGATATGCCCCACCCATTTAACATTTATTACCACCTATCCCGTATTACAGAAGGATGGGGTTTTCACGTGCTGTAGTGGACCAGAAATGTAACTTTTACCCTCTCATCTTATATTGACTCCTGCTATTCAGTCGGCTCTAAAGATTTCCGCGTTGCGCCAGGTCTGTCAATTCTGTCAGCAACCGCCCTAAATCTCAGATTTGGTGAGCTTGAGAGAGGTTTTCAGGGCTCCGTCTGTCTTCCCTTTTCTGCACCTTGTCTGCTAGCATATGTATTGAATTTGACGTAAAACAATCGCTAGGACAAGCTCTCATAATTCATCCTTATGACCTGACTTCTCTATCGCATGGCATCGGTAGGGATAACATCGATTTCTGTCGGGACTCCAGTGCCTCGCACTTTTTGCCTGCGACATTTTGGGTGAAAAGAATGGTATTTCCTTGTTTGGCTCTCATAACCCCTCCAGGTCTCGGCCTTGTAGAAGTGCGTGCTCGGTATAACAGCCCTGAACATCCTCAGTTTTGCCTTGAAGAGGATACAGCAGTGATTCCAGACGGCTTGTAGTAGTCTGTCAGTGGCGTCGCTGACATTTCAGATCAGGTGGGCGGTCGTGTCGTCGACCTTGATGTTTTCTGAAGCGTTGCTTTCCAGTCACGCGATTTTTTCTGCTGCCACTGCTGTTGGTGTATGATCCTTATCTTTTCCCAACTAATAGTTTATCCGGCGGTAGTATTGCCTGCAAAGTCAAGGGACACTGGAATGGTCATTTCTGGCTTATTAGCCGTCGTCAACCAGACAGAATTTAAAGCCGACATCCTGACGTGTCTCAACCAATCTGATCCAATAATCCTGCGCAACGATCTGTATTGCAACCCCACTTAAGTAATCCTGATCGGAAACTCTTTTCGGAATTTCTGTTAACATATAAGGAGGTTGGTCCATGACTGAAAATCAACGCATTAATTGCTATAATAAATCTAACGCGTTCGAGCCTACAACGAGAAGCTCTATCGGATATGATAAAAGTAAGTCATAACACAAAGGCGTTTTGTTTCATCGTGTGAAAATGCGCCCATAGACTTTAACCTATCTTTCAATAGAAATTAACCAATAAGCTGCGTTCTAATTTACGTGGCGTACACTGATCGTTTAAGGTAAAGGACAGGCTGTTTTCCATTCCACAAGCTCCTAGTCGAACCTAAGTACACCACGAACTTGCCATCTTCAGCCTGCGAGTGGCCATTTTTCCCAACAACGCTAAGTACAACAACGAAAGCGCTGAATATGCCGCCCTTTTTCATACGATTTACTCTCCGTCTTATCTCTCATCAAGGTTGTGGAGGACATTGAGTGCCCACAGAGCCTACGCGATCGCCTCGAGCAGGTCTTTGCCAAAAATCGACTCTCCCACTC